AGTGATACGGTGATAGGAGTGGAAAGAGGTCCATATTAATTCAGCTATCAAAAATGATTTAGAATATGGAAAAGAATAAGCGCTGGTAACATGAAATAAAACCAGAAACTATCTCGTTATCGAGATCGTTGCTTATGTTCTAGACTAAGACGAGGCTAGCTTTTTTTTTTTTTACTACCGAATTACAAGGCAGAAAGATCTCGCCAATTGGAAGAGAGGCACATAATCTCCTTGTCACTATTTCTCATCGATTCTTTTGCAATACTAAGCGCAGAAAACATCAATAAGTAATTCTTTATGATAATTGTATTAGGAGCCAATAATGGGCATCACTTATGACGTTAATGGGAATCAGAAGAGCAAGTATGCCAAATATTGACAAAGCAAAAGTGATCGACTTAGAATTGATTAAACAAATCACAGCAAAGCAGCCAGTAAATATTAACTTTGCCGGAGGTTATCACCTGAATAAAAATGAATGTGAAATGTTGGCTTAACGAAACGAAAGCCAAATTGTTCATAAAGCTCACGATATAAAAAAGAAAAAAAAAAAGGATAATTAACTGACAAAATTTTATGGCTTGGTACATGGAATCAATTTTTGGTTAACCTCAAAATTGTAATTAAAATGCGTGAAAAGAGGTTTAAGATCTTGATATACAGAAGTAATCCATTCTCCTCTTGCCAATATCGGTTGATCGCAGGAGATTAGCAGCCAATGTCTTCTGCCGAATGGAGTCAAGCTTAGTTTTCTTGAGCAGTTGAGCTGAACTGAATGGTCATACGTTGATACTGATCTAACACCATTGTTCAAACTATATCCTCTTGGTATTATCGTGTAAAATGAAGTGGTGGAGCGGCATGGCAATAGTAACATACAGACACACAAAGACATTCCTACACCTAGCAAGGAGAAGCGGCATGCTCTAAAAATTATCACGAACTCAACTAAGAAATTTATTTTATTAGACGAGCTGATGATTAGTAAATGTATTGACGGAAAATCGTTACATAAGAACGATTAAAATGTCTATCGTTGTTACACTATGTGCATGCAAAGAGTTAGTCTCTCTATAGAAAATTCTGTGACTCCCGTGCGCCACCCTCTCTAAAATAGCTATACATTGATCGATCGAAACCAAATTAAAAAAATATTGTTTACCATGAAGTCCTATAAATTAAAGAAATTATTAAGCCGCGAAATAGGATTTTTGTCAAAGTATTTTTCCAAACAAATCAACTTATTCAAATTTCATCGATTGATTTGCGAAAATAAACGAAACTTAGAGTTTGTAAATCTCGAAAAAAAAAAAAAATGTTAGTGAAGATTTCAGCAAGACTAAATGCTGTGAGATTGCAACACGTGTTAGCGTGTTGCAAAAAATTCGAGTAGATAAAGTTTCTAGTCTTCAGCCATCTTGTGACGTAGTAACACTAATATTAACATAATACCTGTGCTAGAGTTTTTGACGATGACACATGCTTCGATAAGGTACAATCCAGTGGAAGTAGGTGCCATACCATAGAGACATACACGTGCTCTTTTAGTTTTATTAGAGCCATTTAAAATGGATCAGCATGTTGGCGTTCGTGAAGATGAATGGTTATTTCGGTGTCTACAGCAGAGCAAATGTGCTCTGCTTCTACAACAGCACAACTCCGACGTACACGTCTCCAGGAGCCGCATAAGAATCACTTGAGAGATCGAGCGGTTCGCTGTCGTTTTCAAGGACGAGAGTAGATTGTTTCTTCATGAAAGTGATAGTCGTATATGTCCCAGAGTTTAAATTTATGCATGTTATGTGCATATGCACCTATGTCCAAGTACTCTGCCAATCTTGATTTGAATTGTTGAGAGGAAACGAAGGATAATAAACGGACAAAAAAACCCGAATTCCATTCACAAATGATTTTCTTTTCTTGCCGCTGTAGTGCGGTTACAAGCATTTACAAATGTATATTTCCATTTCTTCAGGATTTTGATATGCCTTCTCTTACGTTCTCTCACATTCGCATTCTAAAAATGTCGACGCACAAACACAAAAACACTTGGCCTCTCAACGATATAGGAACGCGCATGCGTCGAATAACACTCAAGAAGAATAAATGCGTTTACCGATAGGTCAACACGACTGTCAAAGTTATCAATCCTGTTTCAGTTCTCAGCTCCCAAAATGTATTTTCCCATAGCAGGAAATGCATTTGTCAGGTGAAGGTGCGTCTCATATATCGATCATGAGGTGGGGGGCACCTCGAGGCGGTGTAATGGTTAGCAAGCTTGTCTCACTAGAACAATTACGACTGAGCAGTGAGTTCGATCCTCACTGGGTGCTCTCTACTTTCGGCCTTGTGCCACATCTGAGCTACGCTTGGAAAATCACTATATCGATTATGAGGTTGCCTCTCTTATAATTTGAAAATGGGTAGTGTAACAATTATCGGTAGGTAAAGTAAAATTGGCATGCCGATTTCAAATTGTAATCGACGCTGCTTTGTTCACCTTTGAGAACCTTAAAAACGGGCATTTTCCGTCAGCTACCGGCTAAATAGGAGAGTAGATTGGGTTCTCTGGTTTTATGGGGGCGCCAGTTTAAAAGAAAGAAAAGAAAGTTTGCTTTACGGCACATCGATCTTTTCCAGTTTATTTAATGTCAAATTCTGTTGTAAAATAGATATGTACACTACACAGGTTTGGTTTGTACGACAATAAAAAAAAACGACAGGAAATTTGCTTTACACGGCAGTCAACAAAGCTAAAGATGCAGTAAACAGATAAGCTCTTTTTCAGATGATTATACCCGTGTGTACGGGAATGCCGGTGTACTGTCGGCTCCAACCGACAAGGCTGTGTAAGAGAAGGAAAGTGAATTCAAAACCTGCTTGAATAGGAATATGCACAGTTGGGCTACACCCACTGCCGTTGCGGCCACAGTATATGTAGAGACCCTATAGGATGTGCGATCGAGAGAGAGAATTCAGCATTACTGGGGCAGGGGCGGGGAGAGAAAGTGAACCAGATTTAGCCAACACCCAGCTGAACAGGAAATAGATGGAAAGGTTAGTGGTGCAGAAGTCGATATTCCTAATCAAGATACAACTGAATGCGAACGGAAATTATTATGAACAAAGCCTGAATTCGTTTAACCACTTGCAGACATCTTGTTGGCTTGACGACGAGTAAATTTAATCTCACTAGGAATATACTGGCTATACTGGCCATTTTAATTTTAAATTCGTACAGAATGTCTAAACATGTATATACATTAATTGCAGCTAATGAGTTCTCATTGAGTCACAGTTAATTAAGCACTTTCATACTAACGAATAAATAGCGATTTTTGAGCAATTAGTGGATTTAAAAAAAAAATAGGCATTATACGAAAATTACATTTAGGGGTTTCACGTGTTTGAGTAGATATCCTAGTTTTATTTTAAAAAAGTTTTTTTTTTTTTTTTTTTAATGGTGAAATTAATGTCTACCGGCCTAGAGATCGCGAAGTCCCACAAAAAATGTCTCTCGACAGGAATCGAATTCGTATTCCTCTTTTTCAATCTGGGATATCAGTTTAAAGTTCATAGTAATAAATAATTTGAGAATAAAAAAAAATACATTAATTACTTAAAAAGTTATGCTGTCTCCGTTTCGGATGCGAAAATTAAGTTAGCAGATATAGATTTTAAAATTTTCCAACGAGAAATGTACTTTTCTTAAAAGGGCTAAATGTACCTTACTTTTTTCTTGATGGCTTTCAGTGGCTTAATGATTAGACGCATTTAGCTACCCCCCCAAAAAAAAAAAAAAAAAAAAAAAAAAAACAAAAAAAAACGATTTTCCTCACTGAAAAAGGGAATACAGGTTATATTCCTGTCGGGAGGCTCATTTTCTTTAGTCGGTCTCCTCAATCTCTTTGCCAGTAGAGATTAATTTGATTGTTATAAAAAAAAAAATGGATGTCTACTCAAACATGTACCCCCTAAATATAAATGGTAATAGTGAGATTTACAATTTCCATACAGGAAACATTCGGCATTCATTGACCAAACAGTCAGCGTTTACAGTCGGTTTAAAGTTATAGAATCTTTCTCTTAAAAATTGTTTTCAGAAAAATAACCTTCAAGTCCATTGATGTCGCTATTTTTAGTATTAATAGGAGATTTTCCTAACTTTTTAATTAAGGTCGTAAGGAATGTTGTCTATAACAATAATAATAATTATAAAAACACATTGGACGTTTGTATTAACTATTTTGAGTTTTCTAAATGTTCAGAAAATTGTTTGACAGGTTTTAAACTGTATACATCTTTTGCGCATACAATTTTTCAATTGGACAGAATGATCGCATTAGCATATTTCTAAGATATACGTTAGTTTACGTTATGAAATTTTACCTTATAATGAAAATGAATATATAAATACCTTTTATCAATCGCTTCTATTAATGTAAGTATATAATTGTGAAGCGGTTTTCAGTGTGGAATCTTACGTTTGAGGATGAACTCAACTTTTGCGTTAATATTCGAATTCATAATAGAGAAGTGTGCGTTATTAACGATGTTCACAAAGTGCTCATTAAATATGGCCGAGATGAAACATCAGTGCTTAAACGAGCAATGAAGAAGAAATTGTTGAGTTGGTTGCATTTTCTAACACCTCATAAAAAGATAGCGTTGTTCCTCATCTAAGGAGATGTCAGGTAAAATAACGATTACTAGCACAGAGATCGAGTCCCAGTTGAGGCTATTTATTGACCGATTCGTTTTCTACGGCTTATCAACCCTTTGCAGTTTATTTAAAACCAGAAATATTTTTAGATTGTAAGAACTTTTTTTGGAGATAATAGTTTAGTGATACTGATTGACCCATAGCTGGGGAGAAGAGGAGGATTCATACCTTTCCCAAAGGTATTTGAGCGTAAGTGAATGTAAAGAACCCGACTGGGATTAGAACTCTGCTCTCCTATTAACAGTAGTGTCCCATTAGCCATTACACCACCCGCACATCCTGATATTCCCAAGCGGTGACTCATCTAACTACCAACAAGGCTCAACGTTGCATAACTTCGGTGATCGTACGGAAACCGGTGTTTCGACGTGATATGGCCGTACGCCGAAAATGTTTATTTTTCACTCGACAGGAAAAGTTTCGATTACACTTCTTCCCAACAACTTGTCCCATCGCTAGATATCTTTGTAAAAGATGTATTATGTTTATAGAAGAATCAGAGTAAGTGTGGACATTTATGGAGACGAATTTCCCATAAATATCGTAGCCGTCGAAACAGCTGTTAACAAAATGCTAATGCACATTTACAGAGTAAAAGAAAAAAAAAAAAAAAGAAGGTCCTCCATGTGTTCTATTTTGGTTTAAAGGACAAATCTTTTAAATTTAAAAGAAGTTTGTTAGTATGACTTAAAAAGTCGGATATTTTAAACACATATTCACATAATATATACAAATATATTAAAACGAAGTGGAAGGAAGAACAAGGATATAAAAAATATTGCTCATCGTAAATTGGTGAATCAAGAAATATAACAAAATAGTAACAACAAAAAGCTAACCGATTATCATTCAATCGAGGAAGAAACATAAATAATTACTCAACGACTAAAATATACACTCATAGATTATTTAAATTTGTAATTATTATAAATAATTTGCCAAAAATAAATTTGCATAGCTTTTTGAATCATTCTATTACATAAAATAGAAAGAAGTTTAGAAAAAATCGCCTATAAATAGAATCGCCTAGACAGATGCATACAAGTTAGTTCCTCTAATCAGCCAAAATATTTTTAATTTTCATTAATGACCTTCACGATGTAATCCGCTCTCAAGTTGGAATGTTTAGTAAGTCTGATCAGTTTGATAAAGTCAAATTGGCACCTGATGTACAAAACGACCTTCAGTCTGTTAACTGGAGCAAAGGATGGCTTGTTAATTTTTTACGCTCCCGAAACTAAACTGCTCTCTATTAACTATCTGAGAGACCTATTTCTGCCTTCCATCAGCATGGATGATGTTAAACTCCAAGAGAGTGACTAGTTGTGCTTTATAGGCCTAATTCTCGGCTGACATGAAGTGGAAAGACTATGTCGAATCCGTTGTCAGGTCAGCTGCTAAGACAATTTTTTATCTCCAGAATCTATTTTATCTATGTTTACCATTCGTTCATGCTTAGAATATTACTGCTACATATGGTCCGGTGGTCTTGCTATTTATCTAGAGATCCTTGATAAAACCCAAAGAAGAATCAGTAATATTATTAGTCCTGATCTGGCGTCTCGGCTTCAGTCACTTTCGCTCCGTTGTAAAGTTGCCTCTCTGTACCTTTTCTATAAATACTTTCATGATAATCATTCGGATGAGCTCTTTGCTATTGTACCTAGATTTTTGAATTTAAGTGTAGTGCTAGACTGGTGACGAAGTCTCACCAATATACTGAACTGGCTAAAAGTGACCGTAAGTTCTATGCTAACAGTTTCTTTTTTTCACACTTGTTGAAATCCCTTCCGGCTTTTCAACCAACTTTAATTTTCAAAAATTTAAATGCAATATCACTCCCTAGCTAATGTCCTCCTGTTTGCTCTTCTTTTTTTCTCTCCCTGTTTACTAATGTTTCTTTTATTTAATTCTTCCACATCTAGTAGTCCCCTTGTGTCTTAGTGGCTTTACTGCCTTGTTTTGGGTGAACTTAGTTTAAAAAATTCAGACTCAACGATTTGCAAAATAATTTTTTTAAATAAGTTCATTATACTAGTTTTGCAATGAAACAGTTTTTATCATAAAGTAAATTGCTTGAAGATAAAAAAAACATATGACATATTTAAATATGTCACCATGCTTAACGGTTATCAGCACAAAAATGGAAATGGCGGACCTAGTTCGAGTTTTGATCAAGGTTTTGAGTGCATTTAGCACTCATGACTTTGGAAATAGCAGAAATCCTTTTCATCTTCCAGGGTTAAAATAGCAGGGCAGACTGGTCTCTTGTTAGCAACTAGTATCGGAGACGGGTAAATTCTGATTTCAAATTGGGGGTGAGAAACTAAGAACAGATTAATGGTAAACTATCTTTTTTTTTTTTTTTTTTTTTTTAGCAATTCCTTCAGTCCAAAAGGCTACCAGCAGCGAAGCATAATAAAACACAGCTTTGGTGGTCGAGAGTATTTAAAATATAACGCATCTCCTATTCTTCACAATAACATACATAATCAGCACGATGATAAACTAAGAATCATTTGAGGCACGTTTACAATTCGGAACGAGGCTTCCCTGGTTTACTTTTAAAAAAAAAAAAAAAAAAAAAAAAAATAGATTACATATTAGTCTCAGAAAACAGATCATTCTTTGAAATGGTCGAGTCTGAAGTTTTTTTTTTTTTTTTATTGCATATATCGTCTTTTCACGTCAGCTGAAAATTAATATAAAACATTCACTCTCACATTCGTTCGGACGTTCCATTTGGTCGAATACAAAAGAGGGGGAAGATTAAACATTCCCAAATGTTTCAGAGGTGGGCCTTTTTTTTTTTTTTTGGCTCAGCAAATACATTTATGGTCCAATATATTTTCTCTCCATTCCTTTTAAAGTGTTTCCCTTTCAGAACAGACATTGTACTAATATTCCGGTCCACTTTCAGAAGTGCCACCGAAAGCTTTAACGGCGTTTATCACAGTATCTTCAGTGATGATCAAAGATAAACCTTGCCTAGTGATGAAAAGTCGTTAATGCATTATGTAACAGACATTAATAGAAAGGGTTTAGAAATGTGAATATATAAATGCAGGCAATAGAACATTAAACATTGTAATTATTTATCCCAAATATCATAGATATGTTCGATGTACACATGCAAATAAGCATACAGAATTATGCTTGCAGTATTACGTGAGGGTGTACACAAAAGTACTTTTGTGTGTAGCTATGAGTATCGTTTAGGCAGTTCAGGCACAAGCATACGTTCATGTAAAAATATATATATATATATATATATATATATATATATATATATATATATATATATATATATATGTGTGTGTGTGTTTATACACTGAGTGCGATGGATAAATTGTCGTCGGAATTACGCAAAAATTAAAAAAAAAACCGACATTTTATTTCGACCGATATATTTACCAAAATCACACAAAAATATCTTGAAATACTGAAGAGTAGGAAAGTAAATCTATCAATAAAATCGCCATTGGCGTCAACAACACCTCCAGAAGATTTCGGAATCTCCTGCAACTGATCTGGACGGTCTCCTTGTTTAAGTTGATGACTGCTGCCATAATCCATTCCTTCAGTTCATCTTTGGTGTTACAAGGAGTTTTGTTGGTCTCTCGTTCAACTGGGTCCTACACATAATAATCAAGGGGTGAGTTATGTGGCCAGATGTAAGGGGTGATGTAGTCGCAGAAATTTTCCGACAGCCATGACTGATTTCTCTTCCTTGTGTGCCATGGCGCAGAGTCCTGTTTCCAGACATAGGGTCTTTCAGCAGCCGCCCTCTTGGCCCAGTACAGCACTTCCTTCTCAAGGTACTTGATATAGGCCTCCGTGTTGAGTCTGAGGCCCTCATCAACAAATTCTGGAGTTCTTTTCTTCTCAGAACGATCAGAGTGAGTTTACCGAGCTGCCGTATCTTCTTAATCACCATTAGACTCATCCAACTCTTTCCGAATCCTCTGCATTGTCCTCAGCTTGACATCCAAACAATCTGAAATGTTCGTATTGGAGCATGCCGTTTCCAAATTTCTTAAGGGGTGAACTGAGGCCTGGTGCTCTGTTTCTTTACAGACGGTGCCCAACTGACCCTACTATACTATACAGTCGACAAAATCAAAGACATCAATGCTCATGCGGGAAATTAAAAATCTGAACTGTCGACAATTTATCCATCGCATCTAGTATATGAAGAATTAGTAAATTTTATTTTTAATCCGACATATATTCATTACTTCAAACGTTATTTTGAGTGGATACCGGTATTTAAGTAGACGCCCGTTTTTTTAAGGACTGTTTATTTTATATCGTCTACCCGCTTGCGCACACGAGAAACTTTAATCAAAGGCCGGTAAAAGAAATAAACATTGTTTAAAATCCCTCCAATAAACCGAGAGTCTACTCAATGAACATTCTTGTAGGATCAACAGCTATGAAGCACAGCTAGACAGACTAGTATGTAACAAATACAGAGATGACATGGCATCGCTGTGACCATGAGACTGATGCTGGTGGGAAAAGAATGATTAATTCAAAGCACGGCTCCAGCCATAAAAACGTCAAGATAGAAACATTATTATTCTTTATGCGCCATATCCCTTCAGGACGTAAGCGATCATGGCTCTACTACCTCCTATCCCTTGTAGGTCTCAATAAGTTTCGTCTCTCCACCACCTCCCTCAGATCACGTTCTCTCATCCACTTGCTTAAGGCCGCCAGGTATCTCATGCGTTGTTTTCCTTTGTCACTTTTCCCTCTTTTCGACATGTGAGTATCAGATTCTCTAGGCCCTCCTTTCTCATTACGTGTCCAGAAATTTCAGCTGCCTCTTCCTGATTGCCTCCTGTCCAAAACCTTATTGTTGCTCACACATGATATCCTCAGCCTCCTTCTGTAGAACAATATTTTCGTTGCCTTGAGTCTCTTCTTTATGTTTGAGGAGACCGTCCAACATTCACTGCTGTAAAGGAGTACAGACGTATACTAAGTCAGGCTCTTCACTGAAGCTACCAGATTACAATAGAGATGTCTGAATACACGCTTACTGCACGTTACTTTCGTAGCACAATGCCAGTACCACTTCCTTTTATTCTTCAGCGCATATCAGTCAACAAGGTCCAAGAAGGAAGAGGTAAGGAAGACATCTACAACGTCCCATTTCGCACAAATACTGTTGTTGCACCGAAGAAATCGTTACCTAAATAAAAAAAAATTATACAATGCGGAAAGAAGCGATCAGTTGGCCAGTCAGCATCATTGCTGGTCCCAGTTAGCTCACTAGACTGAAGGATAAAGCTTGGTAGTATTTGCTAGAAGTTGAGATGGAGGTGATAGGTATGGCATTGTATAATGTATTTTACATCTGGTTACCAAAAACAA